AACTGTTCGTTAAACGTACTATTTTGTAAATCAATAAGAGTTTCATTTAAATTATCTCGTGTAGATGTATGTGTATCATGTTGTTGTTGACGTTGTTCTTTATATTGTTGTGGTTTTCGAAATATCACGTTGGTGATTTTTGCTAATTGGACTCTTGTGGATTGCTGTTCGAATTCCATTCGCGGATATGAAAATGAAGCTTCTTCTTGTCGGCATCACTTATACATTTTATTGCAGCCTGGTGATAGTTCAATTGTAGTGGTATTAACACCAGTGTTGGAATTACCGCAACAAATACAAATAGTGACAAATTATTTGGGTACACCAAAAGACCAACGACCAGGAATGTGGTGAGGAAATCGTTATTGAGCTCCCGGACGAATGTTGGACTTTTAACTATCAGTGCTACAAGTTTGCACTTTTTTTCTTTACTAATTAAAGCTGACCGTATGTTTGATACTGAACACGAATATAAAATAATCAACGACTCCTGGCAGGATCGCCAAAAATGTAGTTGATTCCAAAGATTTTTTTTTTATATATTTATTAAAAGTTAACAAAACTTAATTTATTTTTATGTTGTTAGCAATTCGAGAAAAGTTTGAATAATAAAAATTTTCTATTTGATTGACGAACCACAAAAATCACATAAATCTAAAATTTCCAAAATTACAAAGTTGAAATGAACACAGTACAATAAAAGGTAATAACACAAATACAAACCCTACAACAAACATTAATATTTTCGCCGCATTTTCCAATTTTCCATTTTCTCATTTCAACGGCACACTGACTTTTTTCTTTAATCATTTGGTTTTTGTCTTTATTTGTACATTCTTTACATCGTTTATGATTAAATTTAATCAAGGTACTATGCTATTTTACAAGCTTTTTTTTAACTTGCTACAAAAAGAGTTATCGGAAATACTAAAATTTATTATGTGACATCACTCGCAAAACTGAACTTGCCTAAATTTGATTAGTTGGAAATCTAAGATTTTGGAATGCAGCTAATTGAGTTTTGAATAAAAACTTTATCGAAACAATTAAAAAGTTGGAATCAATCGAATTAGAAGACCATCAGGCAATTTGGCCAAAAATGCTAGTACTAAAATTTTAGAAACTTTGAATTCAATTCCAGCCATATTAGCTATCTGTAGAAGCTGAGAATGTTTACCACTTACCGCGTAAGGTACACAGAGATATTTACGAGACGGTTAATTAATTGTTTTAAACATTTTTGTACGAATAATGTGTCAGTTAATGTCTCCAAGAACGGTGCTAAGTAATGATTTCTTGTGGGCACGTCGTGGCTACATTGAATATTTCTTTGGAAATAGTTTCACGTATATGTATAAAAGTTCGCCGGGCCTGACCTAGAGACTTGAAACTTCACAGTTGGCTCAGAACCCGAAACCGGTAGGTGGCGCAGGAATCGAGGTATTTGAAAACCCGTATTCATAGTCTGATTTGGTTTATATTTAGAATGCTTGCTGTAGAAATCTTTGTTTTTACAATTAACTTATTTAGAGCAGAAGGCACAAAAGGCAGCTAATTTTGATTTCACTCGAAGCTCACCTAGCTAAGCGCCATAATTTGAAAAGTCCTTAAATAATCTCTTAAATGGAGGCATGTACGCAGTCATATTAATTATGACAGGACAATACTGTCTCGATGACAGCCCTCAACACTTGAGGCTCAACTTCAGTCTGACTCCATAATTACTTCAAGGAATTGAAAAAGTAATCGATTCCTTTGCTGTGAACTGAAGTAATTGAATCCTAATTACAATTACTGAGGAATGTACATGTACATTTCAAAATTTCAACCCTGTTTTTTTGAAATATATCTATGTTGAAATAAAAGTTAAAATAAAACAAGTAAGAAAGTCTAAGTTCGGGCGGGGCCGAACATTAAATACCCGGCGCAAGTATTAAATATATGTTAAATATATCTCCTTTCCAAAAGCTACCGCTACATGGAAAGTCAGTTTTGAGTAAATTAGCGTCCTTAAATTTCGAAATATTGAAGTTTCAAGCAGTTCTGAAATTTACCGTTATATGAAAAGCGGCCGTAACTTTAGTCCGTTTCAATAATTTTTAACGCTTTGCTTTTATGTGGCAAGCACAATAACCGTACCGTGTTTGGTACAAATTGGTAGAACGGTTACCGAGATACATATATGTGATCAGAAGTGGGCGGTGCCACGCCCATTTTCCAACATTTTATCATAAACGTATTTCTCGGTAAAGAGTTGTTACAACCATCAATTTTGAATAAATTATCTTTAATATTTACTGATTTCTCGAAGATTTCTTATTTCTCCAAATTACCGTTATTTCCGTAACCGTAAATTTCGCCCATTTGGTATGCTGTACCAAGGCCAACTACTGCGCCAAGTTTGGAGGAAATTGGTGCAGCGTTTACCAAGATATACACATGTAACCATAAGTGGGCGTGGCTACGCCTGTTTTCCAAAAATTTATAATATTCTTATTTTTTGTCGAAAATTTATTTTAAGTATCAATTTTGAGTGAATTCTCTTCAGTAGTTGTTAAAATATCGTAGTTTTCGTATTTCTGAAAATTACCGTTATATGGGAGGTAGGCGTGGTTATTGTCCGATTTTGCCCATTTTCAATACCGTCCATCCTACGCCCGAAAGAAATACTGGTACGTGTACTTCGTTAAGATATCTCAATTTTTACTCGAGTTCTCGTGTGCACAGGCGGACGGACGGACAGACAGTCACCGCTTAATCGATTTCTCTGTTCATTCTGGTCATTTATGTATACATTTGTCTATATCTATCTTGACTCGTTTTGCCTGTTACAAACAACCGTTATGTGAACAAAATTATATACCCTTGTGCACAAGT